TTTTAAATAAAATAAAGTTTTTTTAAAAAAACGATTAACATTGAAAATTTCATACTCCGGGGACGGAAATCCGGGAGGTAAGGTGAGGTGTGACATTTTTAGGGTCGACTTTTTCTAACCTCTTCCTTCTTTGTGAGAAGGCAGCATCGCTGCAGATGCTGGTTCTTCGAGGGAACCACTTTGCTGCTGTCACACTCCTCAACATTCAGCAGTACGACTTCTCCCTCAGATCTTGCTTGAGTGGCTGCCTTTTAGTCTTATCATTATCCAATCGACCTGCCTGGCATGCTAGATCGTAAAGGAACATATGTTCCAGCCAATTTAGCTCGGTTGAGTCATCACGATATGCAAGACCGACCACCATGTCAAGGTAGCAGCTACGTTCAGAGAGCACAGATAGCGTATAAGGTTGATTAATGGATCTAACTGCTGGTTATCACTCATGTATTATCGATAATACATGCTAAAAAATAACTTAATCGAAGGAATCTGTACGTATTTCACACATAACAATAAAGATTGATAGAAATTTAGTCATGACTATTGATAATGAGATAAATAAAAAACTCTTATTAATGATGATCTAAACACTGTAACATTTGAACAATTCTGTGGCTTTTTGAGCTCAATAGTAACGCGTTGCAATTTGAATTATATACTAATTATTATGTATTCAGTAGATAAGAAATAAAGGTAATGATAACTATTTATCATTTAAAGCCACTAGGTTACATCGTTATCAATCAGTTTGTTAAACTTAGCTAATAATCTAAATCTAATCTCACTATCGATCAATCAATGGTCCCATAATACACTACTAACACTTCCAAAGATATCTATGGTTGAATATTAGTGATTTACGAATTTCCTGCAGTCTGAATGTCGCTACTCCAATCATAAAGTAGAATAGAGTAAACTTTTCTGCCATAAACTAATCCTTCTATATTAAGAGACAGACATCTCATCTAAGTCACAAGTGACAAAACATGGCCAGCGACTATCAAGCTTTTTAAATCTGTGCACAGATTTCGTCAGGTATCACCTCATAAAGACTGATCAGACTATTAAGATGAGTAAAGCGCTTAATGAACTCAATTACTGTACACATGAACATTAGTTTAGGCGTTAACGCAGACCTAGTTATGAAGTATCTTTGAACATTTAGCTGGTGAGAAATGCCTCCTATCAGGCAAAAGAAAGATAAGATTTGCATTTATTTATTGTCAATAAAATTAACAGCTTCAATCATAAAAAATTTCCTCACTAACCAGGTCGACCACAATCAGCGCATACTTCATTACCAGGTGCAGAGAATCGTAAAGAAGATTGAATTAGTGATTTCGATGGACGTGCTTTCGATTCAACCGGATTAATACCATCTGTTGAAAAAGTGTCTACATTATCTAAGTGACTTTCATGCGAATGACTAACTTGTGAACCGCTAGTGGAAAAATTATAAAAAACAAAACACGTTGTATCATTATTATTATTATTACTATTTGGTTGATAAATTAGAGCACGATAGTACAATAGTAACTTACAATGAAAACTAAGTTTTTCTTACCAGATTGTTGAGCTTGATAAGAATCATAAACATTGAAAACCTGAAAGCATTGGACGAACATTTCGTTTTATTATGGGACACCTCAGTGACGGTGCACATCAAAGAACCCACAACTGGAAATTAAACTCAAAACCTTCGGCCTCGAGTGCGAACGCCTAACATCTAGACCACTGAAGGGATATGCAATGGTTTACATGTGTAACTTCAAACAATTCGTGACACTGCGCAACAACATTTCATCATACTCGGCGAGTAACTGTATTACACACGACAGAGTTGAACTCCGTTGGTCATTGTTTCGCATAATAACTATCAGTATAGGGGTTTGTGAGGTTAGAGACCTTGAACGACATGGCTCAAAATCGTGGTGGTGTTTTGTTCTCTGAGCTCAGAGAACAAAACACCACCACAATCATCCACCTGAGCTACAAGTTTTCTCCACCATCTCAAAATGGCTCAAAATCGTTTGTAATGGCGCAGGTGCATTCATTCATTGTGTTCTCTCAAATTCTAACCATCTGAATTCCTCATCATCTCTACATTTCTCTTACTTTATCTCACTGAACTATACTTCTTGAATAACATCTTCGAACCTTAATTACTGCTAATACTTCTACTATCTCTAACATTAAAGGGATTTGAAGTGACAAATGCATGTACGAAGTTCTACATTGCAACCGACTGACTGACTGATAGGGGCTTGTGAAGATTGTTGAATGTCATTGATAACATAAACTAACTTAAGTTAAACAACTAGAAGTGATTAGTGAATTTTTTTAACAATCTATGTCATTGGTTATCGTTTTCATTTAAAAACAAGTGATAAGACACATAAACGAGTAAAAGAGTTAGATTTTGAAACTTTCTTAAAAGCATATGTGTACTCGTCTGTCTGTTAAATACAAAACGTTCAGACAATGCGATGAATAAATGAATTGAATCAAGTTAATTTACCAGGCCAACAATTATGAACTTGACTTGAAGCTACACTCTAACTACGAAAGGCTATCGTCAGTTGTTCAAATCAAACCTGTAACTTAGTGGCTGAAAATTGAATGCTTTAACAACTGAGCCACAAAAATAAGTGCCCTACTAATTGTAACAGTCAACTTTCAATTTATACTAAAAATATTCCAATAGTATTAATAGTACATCAATTTGTGAACAGTAGGGGAGTGGCAACCAAGTATGAAGATTACTGAGATCCTATAGAGTTGAACATTAAATTTGCACCATATGGTTAAACAGTCACAAGACCGATTAATCAATAAAAGTATAAATATATTTTCATTAATTTCATAAACATAGAATTCAATAAATGTAGACATCGAAAATAGTTACTGTTAGGATCGTCACTAGGTATATGCTTGAAACTACTACGGGTTCACCTTAGTCGATAAACAAGAATGAGACAATGAAACGGTCCAGGTAGACTATTCTGATCAGTTGACTCCAAACAGCTGACGAGAAGTCTTGATATAGCGTAGAAAGTGTATTCTACAAACACCCAGCAAGCACAATGAATCCAAGCACACAAATAGCGTTTATTTATACATCATAGAAATGTCCTTGGGGAAGTCACACAGTAACCAATCACAGCCAAGGTTTTTTTTGGTGGGAAATGTGATCTCAAGGTCGACTGATCAGCTCATGAATAAAATCCAAAATGAAGACATTTATCAGGCAAGTTCTGCGGATCTAATATCCCCAACAGTTACGTACCACACAAGGCAGGCAGTGGAGCAATATAGTAAGATGCATGTTATCCCAATGCTATCTCCAAAAGCGACACCATGAATAAATTTATACATAATTTCCTTCCGTTAGGAGTTTGCACGATTTTTATGTACATTTGGGACAAAATTTAAAAAAAGGTTCCCTATAAGATGATTAAAAGAAGACGAATACATTATCATTACCTGGAATCTAATAAATCATTTACACTCCCTGGTAGACTATCGCCAAAACTATCAGATTTCCTATTTCTGGGATGATTTCCTTGAGCAGTTAGAGTTGAATAGACTAAATCCATATCGGCAACTAAACTATCACTGTTGGTAATACTATTCTTATTATTGTTATTATTATTAACCGAATGATTTGATGTGCTTGTTGTCGTGTCCGAGAGATGATCATATTGTGCAGTTGCATAATGTTCACCATTCATTGCTTTGTTGAATTCTTCTTGCATTGCATTATTTAAAATACTTATCCATCTGTAATTAGAAATGGGAAATATTGAACAATGGGTAGTCCTTCATGTTAACTTGATTGAAAGGATTTGTATCTTTTTTCCCCGATTATTAATGTTAATGATTCACAAACCATTATCAAAACAATTTAGCGATCGTAGCGGCTACGTTGACTTGGAAGTCCGGGTTGAGGACCGTGATGACCGGACCGAGCTGTATTGGCTAGAACATATGTTTCTGTAGGTTCTAACATGTGAGGCAGGTAGGTTGGAGAACAGAATGACTAAAAGTAGTAACTTACGGTCTGAAGGTAGTCGTACTACTGAATGTAGAGGAGTGTGAAAAGCAGTAAGGTGTTTCTTCCAAACAACCATCATCTGCAACAATACTGCCTTCTGAAAACAGAAGGGGTTAGGACAGGTTGACCCTAAAAATTTCACACCTCACATTGCCTCACAGATTTCCGTCTCTAGCGGTGAGGCGCTGTGAAGAGCGGGGTTCAACATGTCAAAAACTTCCCACAAAAGGGCCGTGCATGAACGACCGCAAACAATTGTCCCTTGGACTCTGTGGTAACGCTTACAGGTCTCTAAGACGCATATTATTTCAACTTTCTTTTGCGGTTCCTTAAAAAAATACCCTTCCACGGTGTGGGCAGCCGGGAAGTGACATGCGCCGTCATATTCGTAACAGCACACAAGAGCAATACAATTTACATCTGTTATTACATTACATTACTAGTGGCTACTGGGACGAAGTAGCTTAGTGGATGGAGCGAAAGGAATTAATTGCCAGACCTCAGCATGAACGACAATACTAGGGTATGACAGGGAACAACACTATCAAGCTGATGAGTTCCGCATAGGAAAAGTGTACGTTGCGGATTCCCATAACTTGACTAAGAACATCTACGTTTGCTTAGTCATTGAATGAAATAAATCTATTATATGCTTACTTGTGCAAAAAAACTCACAGCAATACATTAACATACCATCGACTAAAAGAATAAAAATAGTAGAACTACAAGCTATTTTTTCTTACTTAAGGCTAATTGTTTAACTATTAAGTACCTAATGAAAACAAATATACCAGCCACAAGGACATTATTGTATTATATGACCATAAATATTACGTCAGTGAACGGTAATAGTGGTAGTATTATTTAATCTAAAGCGTCAAACAGTATTATTATTATTAATGTTATGATTCATAGAGTCACAGAAATCGATCTGAAAGTGTGTCGTCCATTCAAACAAAAGATTCAATGTCATATTGTTTTTAAAAATCGTAGTTTGACCGAACTGATAATTACTGCGGTGAATGTTAAATATATCAAAGGTCTTATTAACACTAATATATATATATATATATATATATATATATATATATATATATATGAGAAAAGCTTCCTTTTCACTGAATACTCACTCTTCATATTCCTGTTCATCTTCGGCTTGGAAATTGTATGTTCGACTATCTATGATGTGAAAGGAAAAACAAAATATAAGGTTTTAAATTCAATTTCGATTTTAACTTGATTGGAACATGAATTTTCATACATTTTATGATAGTAAAGTTGAGAACATATTGATCGATATCAACATGAGAGTGATTTGAAGTTCTGATGGAAAGTTATGATATAGTTTATATTCGTCAGTAAGAATGTACAAAAGAATCTTTCACAAAAAAAATCTTACCATATATTTGAGGTTTGATTGGCTTTTGCCAACCTGCGTCACTTATGGCCTAAGCGAGATATCCGTTTGCTGACTAAAGGACGAGTAAGAGTAGAAGACATTCGTAGGTTAATAGTATATCATGGGACAACCGAGTAAGCAATGTTATACTTCGGAAACGAGTACTAGGTGGGGATGGCAGATCAATTGATGAAGTATTGAAACTTCATCAGTTGAGGTGGTTGTGACTTGCGTTACGAATGCCTAACCACCGACTGCCTCAATGAGCTATGTTTTGTGGTTTAGGAGTAGGTTGGAAGAAATCTAGGGGCCGTCAAAGCAAAACATGGCACAAACCCATGAAATCAATGACAAGTGAAATGAGTCATGTTGATAGATGCAGGCTACCGCGAGACGAAAGTATCCGATGGTTAGAGATCTTGAATGACTTGGCTCAAAATCGTTTGCAATAGCGCACGTGCATCCACTCTTTATATTCTCTGAAATTCTAATCTTCAGAATTCCTCATTATATCTGTCTTTCTCTTTCTAAATTTATCACACTGAATTATATTTCTGGAATAATTTCTTCGAACCTTAATCTCCACCACTACCGCTAATACTAACACTATCTTTACTACTATGCGATTTGAAGTGACAATTGCGTCTCTGTGCTAATATGGTATGGCAACCTGAACTAATGTTCGTACGTACAAAGTTCTACATTGTAACTGACTGACTGAGGTTAGTTAGCCAGTGTTACTTTAGTGCATATTGAATAAAGTTGAGAAGGATGAGTAGTTGAATTGTTTTTCAGTTTGATTTCTTGTATAACATGAATTAACGAGATCCACATAGTGTATGACTACTACTGGATTTAGATAAGAACTATAAGAACAATAAATATTTACATGACAAAATCTAAACATATTTTTCGTCGGATATAAATAAACTCAAAAAGAAATGCGGCATATATATACATTGACTCATGTCTACCCACACTTAAAAATCAGAAAAGAAAAACGGAAGTGCAAGTAGTTGTATTGTGATTGTTATAGCGAAAAACAGATTGTTAGTCTAATCTGTATCGAGTCGAATGAATAAATCCATGAAATAAAAGGTACATAACCGTTTGAAAATTGAGGATTTAAGGGAATAACAAAAAGTGAATGGATTGGCTTCGCTGTGATCGGACTTTGAATCGTGTCACTGATCATCTCCAGTTATTGATCGCAATAAACATGATGACCTTAAAAAAGGTTAGTCAGTAATATTTCTGCTACTCAGACAATTGTTATTGATGGTTAGGGCGCTTTCTATAGCAACAGACTTCTTCTAAACTCGAGCACAAACAATATAGAAAGAGCGTGAAGTAAGAATGTAAACTACTACGAGATTAATTTCCGTACAAAATGCAAGCTTACTTATGGGTTTATACGTAGACTTCATCTTCCTAAAAGCTTCTAGGAATACATTAAATTTAGTAGCAAAAAGAACGGCACAATCAACGTTTTTGAGGAGTTTATAATTGATTCTGATCGGATGAAATATTTTCAGTCCTTTCTGAGCATTTAGGGACTTAAATGAGTAATTCTTGGGGGCTACCAACAGTCTACATTTACTAGGCTTACTTAGACAAGCAGTTACCCAACGGACATATTTCACTCATATCAAAAACGTAATCTATTTTGACGAATTTTCAGTACAAACATGTTTGTGTGAAATCCAACCAACCACTGGTTTAAAATAATGAGCCTTAACTACTACACTACTGTAGTAAGTCAGTCAAGCGCAAGGTGAAACTTAGCACATATATATCGGTTCAAGTTTTCATAACCTATTGGCACAGTGAGATGAAATTTACAGGGTAAATCCCTTAGTGGTAGAGGTAGTAATGGGAAAGATTAAATACCAAAGTTTCGATTGAAGGATATAAGATCTATGAGTTAATTTAGAAACTTAAAATTTAAAGGAAGGCGAAGAATGAATGCATCTGCACCACGTGGACTGGTTGTGATTCATATCACCCAAAGTTTCTATTTATTGGTTGTGATAATCTACTCATATGACTTAGTTCAACAAGATCTTCATGAACTGATGCATGTGTTTTAGATTGACTGTCGTCCATAGCTTTCTTCCAACCTAGTCCTACTCCCACACCAGACATCATCTTGAGTTAAGGTGGTTGGTGGACAGACATATGTGCCAAATGTCCCAACCACCTAAGTCGATGGGTATTAACTAACTCATCGATCGACTTGTCATACTTAGCTAGAAGTTTGAGTTTAACCTCGGTATAGCTCATTCAGTGGTCTCAAAATACAAAACTAATCTGCGAATATTCTCCAGTTTGAATGTTCATGTTCCAGTCATAAAGTAAAACGGAGCAAACTTCTCTTCAATAAACTAGTCCTTCTATATTAGCAGACAGAAATCTCACCAAAGTCGCAAGTGACTAGACATAGCAAACGATTATCGAGCATTTTAAATCTGTGCAGCGATTTCGTCCGATAGCACTTTATCAAGATTGATAAGACTACCAAAATGAGCGAAGCAGTTAATAAACTCAAATGCTTTACTCCTTATTATTAGTTTAGGTGTTGACGTAGTCAGTCAGTCAGCTACAACGTAGAACTTCGTACGTTACATACATCAGTTCAGGTTGCCATACCACATTAGCACACAGAGATGCAATTATCACTTCAAATCCTATAGTTTTAGAGATAGTAGAAGTATTAGTAGTAATCCGAGAGATTAGGGTTCGAGGATATGATGCAAGAAGTATAATTCAGTGAGATAACTTTCGAAAGAGAAAGATAGAGGTGATGAATTAATTCAGAAGATTACAATTTGAAAGAACGATTTCGAGCCATGCCAGGTCTCTAACCATTAGTGACTTTCGTCTCGCGAACCCTAATCAGGTAGTCTACACCTACCAACTTTACTCAGCCCACTTGTCAGTGACTTCATGCATTTGTGCCATGTTTTGGTTTGGCCACCCCCTACCCCTACACCACAAAACAACGCTCGTCGAGGCAGTCAGTAGATAGTAGACAAGTTCTGTTGTAACACTATTGTTTCAGTAATTATATGAATAATGAAAATCACAACTGTATTATAATAACAAAACTAAAACTAAAAAAACATCCGCATTACTTGAAACAAGATCAAAGTAGAATTTTCCTTCTGAAGTAATTGAATTACCACCAGCACCACTACCACCACCAACTCCAGTAGTACTATGATTTAAATTGGAATCATTCTCTGCATTTTCTGTAGGTAATTTAACCTGACAAGTAAGTAAAGTTAGCCGTACAGGTGGTTTAGTTTCATCTGCATGATATAAGCATAATTCACCATCAGCAATACGTACACGACGACGTTGCCAAACACGTTTTACCTGTAGGGAATGATAAAAAAAAAGTCAGGAAAAAAAACAATTGTTTAAATTGGTTAACAGATTAAAACCATTTACATTGGAATCGGTGAGTAATAAAAGAAAAAAGAACAGGGGGGTTTTCTAGCGAGTTAGTTTTTTGCAGGATGGGATCGCCAACCCTACGACCAACCCTCTTCTTTTATCCGGGCTTGGGACTGGCAGTAGCCGCAAAGGGGCTCCAGGTATAACATAACGAAATTCAAAATCAAATTAACTTCTTAACCGGATACTTGAATATGATACAGATAGAGAGAGAAATTTGAAGCTTAGAATTCAGTGGTTACAAGGAAAAAAACCCAATGTGTTTCAATTAACAATACAATAAATATTTAGGTAAAAAAAAAATTGAACATAGAATATACTGATTTTTATTATTAGCAGTTTTAAATACAAATTATTTGAATAATGGAAAGTTAAACACACCAATGAATAAGAAAACGCCAGATATGAGCTACAAATAATAGTTTTTTTATGTTGTAAAACAAGAAAAAGAAACTTGCTGTCAATATAAAGTGAAATCAGAATAGAATAAAATGGGAAACGCTTGAGAACGTCCATGCATGGACTTTTTATGGGATATTTCGGAAGCGTTAGCTCCGCTCTTTAAATGGGCCTTACCACCGGAGACGGAAATGCGTGGAGTAAGGTGAGGTGTGACAATTTTAGGCTTGACCTTTTAGAACTCCGTCCTTCCTTGTGAGAAAGTAGCATAACTGCAGATGCTGGTTGTTCAAGGGAAACAGCTTACTGCTGTGACATCCCTCTACAGTCAGCAGTACGACTTCACACTCAGACCTTGCTTAAGTTGCTGCTTCTAGTCTTACCGTTCACCAATCAACCCGCCTGGCATGCTAGATTGTTGTCCCATAGATTATACCTCGGCTGAGTCATGATGATAGGCAAATCCGACCACTACGTCAAGGTAGCAGCTAAGGTCGTTCAAATGTTTACTAACTGGAATTTTCCAAATACTCAAAAATCCAACAAAGTTTGTACAGGCTTAAAAGAATACAGTATAGCGGACAAATTAATGAAAGATCAAGAAGACGACTCCTGGGTTCATCTAACTGTGTAGAAGAAGTAGAAGGATATCTAGTGAATGTTTAGAAAGTTATAAACGATGGGGAAATATTACTGTTTGACACGATAGAATAGGAATGATAATGTCAAATACTTGCTAATGAGATTGTATGCAACTCGTAAAGTCTAACCCTAAAACCATTTTTACTGTTCAATGATCAGATTTAAGATAGTGCCTCTTAGATTTCTACACAAAATTTATTAATCCACATGTCTACAAAGTATTAAGGTTGATGATACCAGTCGCTGGTGTAAACCGTAAACCTAACGCCAAGAATAATTTGGGGACTTATAGGAATCTATTTAGGTCCATTATGGAGTTCGATCAAACGGATAAACTATAGTCATGTGGATAGATTTATGCGCTTGATAAAGTAGGCTGGAAAAAATTGTCTAGAAATAATTAATTACGTGAAACCTATTTACGCTTTGCAATATCATTGTTTTTGCCCCGTAAACTACTTATTAACAAAAGCTGCCCTTTGGTTGGCTAGAAAATGGCTATACATTGATCGCAGTTCTTATAAGCTCACTTCTCCATGTATTGAATGAACTTTTACCTTAGATGTACACATCGATTAAAATCAAAGGAGACAATGCAACAAACCTTTCCATCTGATTTCTTCAGCAGAAATCCACTCTTTTTAGTTCCAAATGCTCGATTCACTTGAGTTGGTTGTGCTGCATACGTGACACCAGTTTGTACCGACTGAAATTCAAAACAGAATGAAAAGAAAGAAATCTCTAAGTGAATAGTAATTCTCTTTTTAAAGAAACCACAAAAAGATGTACTCTACAACAAAAGTACAGGTAAATTAGAAGTTGAAAAGTGAGTGATGCGTTTAACAACAGCAACAACAACAACAAGGATCACATATTTTGCAAGAGAACCATTTACTCAAGATGAATAAATCATTATACGAAAGGAATAAAATTATATAATATTCATTTATTATGAAGGAAATCAGTTATAATATGTGAATCAAGACAGAAAATAATCATGTAAAGGATTTTAGCATAAATGACAAATTCAATAGATATGATTAGATGTAATCAGCCTGACCACAACGTGCATTAGTCAATCAATCAATCAGTCAACAGTAACGTAGAACTTCGTACGTACATACATCAGTTCTGGTTGTCGTACCATATTAGCAGTAATCAGCGAGATCCGGGTTCGAGGATATTATTCAAGAAGTAGAATCCAGTAAAATAAACTTAAGAAGAGGAAGATAAAGGTGATGAGGAGTTAAGAAGATTAGAATTTGAGAGAATACAAAGAGTGATATCAGTCAATAGCTAATAATTTATAAGAAAACAGATGTCACCTCAAATACCTGTCTGAGATTATCTACCAATCTATTTAAGTAAATAACCAACCACCATTCCATCTTGGCTTACACAGCAATAATATACAAATGACTATAATAGAAGAGCTTAACACATTATAACATTCATTTTTGATGAATTTTGATGAATGTTAAGCTATTAATCTATTTGATCTCTTGAAGCTTTTTTCTGTTTTACACCAACTTCAGTCGACACCATACAGTTAGTCAAATGCATGTGTAGTACCTGGCACGCATAATAAAGTGAAATTATCAATACAAATACCAGAGTAGTAATAGAAATATTCGGGATAGATAATATAATTCGAAAAGAATGAATTCGTAAGATTAGTATAAAAGAAGAGGAAAACATAGTGTACATGCATTCACATTACTGTGATTGGTCCAAAGTCACTTGACACTTCAAACCATTAGTCATGATTATCACGTGAATCCTATCTAAGGTAGTTTGTGTCAACCTACGAATTCAACAGTCTATGGTTTCATGAACTGATACCACATTATAACCAGCCAATAACTACGCATCGAGCTGGGCAGAGAGTGGTTAAGCATATGTAATACACGCTCCAATCATCTCAGTCGATGAATAACATTAGACATCATATCTATAATGAACATATGTTTTTTTTCTACATACATAAATCTACTTATGAGACTACTAACAAGTGTTTAGTCACTTGTGAAGGCAGATGAGACAAGTGCATTGAGTGGACATAAACTAATCATGAGTGCACTTTGGGTGCCATGTAGAAAACAATAGCTGAATGTATTGAAAATACTGTTGGTATTTTAAATATCGCACAAGACAAATAAGTGACAGGTTCTGGAGTTAGAAATAACTTTTAAAAATAACTCATGAAGAAAACTAACAGTAGTAATAAGATTATTCACTGAATTTACAATAGTTTAACAAATGAAGTAATCAAACAAACACACATAAACTGAATTTAATACTTCATCACATTCATAAAAACTGTTGACCCTATTTTAAATGGAAAACATGGTAATAATATGAAATGTCTATTCAATCAACCTATAAATCAGGAATAACAACTAAACCAAAATAGATACAAAATGGTCAGATGATTTGAAATTATGCGAGCTATGAAATATGCTAATTTACTTGATCGATTTAATGACAGTCTTAATTTTTTAGTTTATAATCGGTGATAGATTCAATGTATGCAGTTAATTGACATCAATTAGAATCAGTTTGAAGGCGTTCTATTTAGAGAAAAAACACAGTAAAATGAGGTTTTTATTCTTTTCCTATTTAGATTCACCATGAAGGCTTGAAGGTTCTGTATTCAGTGCCCCTAGTAGCATGGTGAATGTATACAACACAGTGGCACTGAAGTGTATCATACTAGAACCTTGCAGCTGTTCAATGCTTTTCGGTCTTCAAAGGTTGTTTGACTAAGGTCAGCGAATGATGTAAACTGTGAAATTCAAGTCTTTGCAATAATCCCCAATACTAAGAACGGGTTATATTAAACACTCTGGTCATCAATTACGTCACCGATAATAATAATAATAATAATAATAATAATAACAGCAGCAATGTAATGTAATATGATAAAATCACAGGGAATTTCTCACAGAAAAGCAGATAATTGCGTAACTGAAACTCAATAAAGATTTACAAACAAAAATACCTGGACAATTGAGCAGGTAAAATTTTAATAAACTGTGACAAATAAACACAAAAACACCAAAAATTCAAAGACATACAATAAATACACTGACTGACTACACCAAATAACAATGAAATCTTTTCAAAAAAAGATTAATTTTTCTCGGAAATTAAGCATAACAGATAGACGACACTTTTTACACATTGTACATAGATTTATGAATTTAACGATGGAGAGAGAGAGAGAGAGAGAAAGATGATTACCTGTCCAAATAAACGAGATTTTCGACGAATCGAATCACACTAAATATATATATGTATATGGCATAAATAATAACAAGAAAGTAGAAATAATTGAAAAGAAAACGATATTAATAAAAGGTTATTTATCAATTCAGTCAGTCAGTTATAACGTGGAACTTTGTACGTACGCGCATCAGTTCAGGTTGCCATACCATGTTAGCACAGAGACGCAATTATCAACTACAGCATTCCGTATAACTGAATATATTTGAAATGACCTCAGACTTCTAGTATCAACAGTGCTGTCTGGTGAGTGCTTCAACTGGGTTGGTGGGAGTTGGGAAACCCTCATTCCAAACAAATAATACACATAGGTTACAGGATATTGACAGGATGAATGGCATATGAACATATTGCTGGTTATCGGCTGTCATGGGACTGCATCTCCTACCATCGCTCCACTACCTTGTGGATTAGACTTCTGGGTCAAAGGTTGAGGGGTGTGGTCCATTAGCAAAACCACCGGCTACTGTTTGGGGCGGTTGGGCAGAATCCAAGCCCACTTAAAGTTCAAAGATTTGTGTGGAGCATAAATAACTAAGTGTCCTTTTGTACCAATATTTATGCATTTAAGTTATAAGTTCGAATGATAATAATTTGAAATTAATTTCAAACTTTGAATACTTAATTTATTTCGTTACAAAATTAAGATATAGTTTTATGCATAGAAAATTAACACTAGACCATTGATTCCATAAGTTAACATAAACACACATAGGGGGACAGAAACGAAAAGATATAATATAATCAGAGAGTAAATCAAATTTCCACAATTAGATTAACTATTGAAAATGATTGAAAAAAGTCCATATACTATTCCGTAAACCATGAGAAACTAGACGATTACACAGTATAAATGTTTAATATGCATGAAAAATCACTGAATTGAAATCGAGGCAAAAAGTTTAAGAGAAAAAAAAGACTACCTCTTTATCCAGTACCCCTTTGACTTCTTCACGAGTATCAACAAGACGACGCTTTTGTATATCATTAATTTTATGTAATTCATTTACTCGACTAGATAAATCACTCATTGACTTTCCAAAATGATCCATTACACCTAAACATTCACGTAAGTAACTACAAAAATAAGAAAAAGAGAACACTATTAATAATTTTAAAGATTCCCATTCCTACTATCCACTTGAACTTTTGCCTATTATATGTAGTTACGTAATCTTTTTCATTTCATTGTGATTATTGACTCAAATTGCCTTGATTGGTTTAACATTTTCATATAAATATTCATGTATATTACAGTAAAACCTGATGACGATCCAATCGAAAACAATATTGTTCGCTTATATGTGTTGTTCTAACACTTTTAATGTTGAAAAGCAAAACTATGTAGTAGAATATAAAAGGATTATAATTAATTGTATGCTTTGGGTACGGCCAAAGGTGACGAGAGTTTGCTTTTTCTCTCTCTTGAGATGTTTTCATACAACCATAAATTCATAGCGAAGTACAACTCACTGCATTTATGTTTCATGGGAGTCAGTTACAAAAGTAAGAGTATGACTAAGTGAACGTCCAGCGCTTAGACCGCATTGCTGGATACAGATGGTTCATGCAGAGAGGAGGTAGTTAGAGAAATAAGATTTCAAACCAAAGGTATAAACGGACACTCCAAGAACCTATTTGTGGTCATCGACTGTCGTGGGACAGTATCTATTGAAATTTCTTCATTAGCCTGTAGATTAGATTTTTAGGCCAAGGTTACAAAGGAAAATCACCTATTTCGGGTAATAATCCTGTTGACGTTGAAATTAGTTATTCAACTATATGAAAAGTAAACAACTAGTTGAGGTTTATTAACACAGTAATCATACACATATTTATACGTCCAAACACAAGGTCCATTACCACTCTCATGTAAAGGGTAAATACATCTCTTTATTAAACAAATTTGCACACACACACAAGTAACACGCAATCGTAGACAGTTGAAATAGGGCATAAACAGAATGTAGATTATAGGCAACAAAAAGATCTTTAAATAGGAAAAACTTACTGAGTTTGAACATAGAAGAAATCAATTAAATGTTGCAAAAGATCAGCACCACGTTTTGCTTTTAATTCATTTACTTTGATCAGATACTAAAATAATGTTAAAAGAAATATTAAAAAGGCAAAGTATAATTAATTCCAAATTTACAAAGTAATCTATTTATTAGACTCGATCGATATTATTACTACCACCAAATACATACCAATCAACTACAGAATTATATGGATGGCTTTGAGACACATTGTGAATTTGGAGGTTAGTGATAGAGTCACAGCTGTCCGAACGGAAGTAAATGGAAGGAGGTTCGAGCATGGAAGTAAGCGGCTCAAAGTTGAACGCCTTAACGACAGAAACATTGTTCTACTGTTAAGGGAAATATACACTAAAATACCAGTATGGTTGTTGACTACTACATTATTTATTCTCTAAAATTTGATACCTGAATGGTAAGAAATGTACTCACTTGAAAAAAAAACTTTACTAAATGTGAATATATGTTAGTTGGAATGAACAACAGAAAAATCACTCACTTAAATACTAGTGATGGGAGATAAATGAGGATGATTGAATGAGTAGATTAGCCGGGAAGAGCTAGATAGCGAGTGATTTTACGAACTAATTTTCTTAGTCAATAATATGCTGAGAAAGTGAAATTTTGTTAGTTGATCTGTAATGATAAGGTTACTGAACGACTAATAACCTCTTCCATTCGTTTGTCAGACCCCAAACGATCAGCTAATGAATTTGTAATTAAAACATTTCAAACCCACAAAGAAATAAAAGCATACACTGTATAAGCCTACAAGACGACAAATGAAGAGTATTTCGAAATATAAGTATAAATATGGCATCACTCAATGAAATCATCGATAATTAGACTGAACCATGTAAGTAGGTGTCCCTAGCTAGGGTCCCTAACCGGTGATCAGAGAGTTTGAATGATATGGCTTATAATCATCTATTCTTTTCTTCCTCCAAATAGCAAAATTCTGAATTATTCATTATTTTTCTTTTTTTCTCTTCCTTTTTAATCTGTTTTTCAAATTTGTTCCACTAGTTTGTAAATTCTCGATTTGTATTTTCGAACCCTAATTTTTCACATTACCAATAATACTGCTACTACTTCTACTACTACGGGGTTCGAACTGACAAACTCATCTCTCTGGGCTAAAGTGGTGTGGAACTTGAACTTATGTATATACGTACCAAGTTCAACACTACAGCTAACTGAATTACTGATATCGGTTAGTGACATTGGAGGGAATAAAGATGAAAAATAATGTCGGCCCCAGAATTTTTAGATAATAATGGGTGACAGGTTCAACGCCTACAAAGTATATCAGTCCTTTCATGAATCCAGATACTATTTACTGGCGTGTTATCTATCACGATTACTTCCGACTACCGAGTACACTTTTACTTTGCAAAAGAATATTCATATATACGTAACTGCAGTGTACTTCGATTAAAATCAGCACTAAAAATAGAGTTTCGTGGACTTATGCAATTACTACGTGAGGTTAACTCTAGTTATGCAGTACCTTGATAATTACTTGAAAAAATCAACCAATCAACAGCAACGTAAAATTTCGTACGTGCGTACATCAATAAGTTTTACGATGACCAACTATTGTTCTTTGACACATTACAATGAGATTAGAACTTACCTCACAAGTCTCAAGTTGGAGTCTTCGACGTTCTTTTTCTAAATCTTTTGTCATTCCTTCTGTAAATGCTTCGGGAATATAGCACCCAGTTTCCTTCATCGTTTGCAACTTTTCTTTTCGTAATTTATCACTGAGTATCATAGAAAATAACGATTAACAGAAGGGTTTAGAAGTCAACAGAAGATCTTTTCAGTACCTAAATGCATGTTTTAATACAGAGTATTTACAAACTTTTAATGCAAAACCATTCGGATCTGTTGCAAGGTGAATGATCATGTACACGTAACGGTTCAAGTGCATTAATTTATTTGGAATCGACTACTACAGGCAATTTAGTCAAATAATACCAAATAACCAAAAGATAACAGATTTTTAACGTTCTTTAACCATCAACTATTCTTTGATTTTGAACTAATAAAACATACGAGATAAGTTAATTTTAAGTTAGAATCGGCGAAGTACAATAAATTACAATGCACCAAGTACATTGTATTCAATAAAGAACTCACGATATGAGAAATGGTAACGTCCATGAATAGCATTGTTCAGTTTAAATCTAAAAACAAGAACTGATGTAACAGATCGATATCTCACGAGCCTTAATACACATTTCAGAGACACTTATTATAAACTAGTTCACTTTTAAAATTGTTCGGTGATATATTAAATTAAACGAATTCAACCTACAACCTGGTTGTATCAGACACATAACGCGAAAAAAACTACTTCGCTTGCAGTATATATACATATATATATAACCTATTTATTTTAAAACGAATCATGTAGGAGGAACAATATTAGATATTAACAGAGAATAACGGAATTATAAACGATAGGAAGTGAAACCATAGACTAGGGAAACCTAACAAGTTAATACATTGCCGGGTTCTAAATAACGGAATATAAAAATGGCAACTACCTGCGTGCGTCCATATCGATATAATGGTGTACTATTCGAATACCATACGAGAAACTTGTCAATTCGTTTTATATACAGTGCACACCCATACTCACTTGCTAGATAGTCATAACGACTAATCCGCATTACTTTAGTGGCAAATCTATGAGGCTAAATATGTACCTATGACAGTAGCTACAACAGGGGAGCTATTAAGTAGGTTGCACACACTCTTGGCTTGCATTTTCTGTCCGTAAGCTAGCAATTGTCCTCGTTTAAAAATATTCAATAGGTAAGTAGAGGTTGTAGTATCGATATCATAACATTTAGAGTCTGAAATCATCTGTCTCACAGGTTCCAGTGTGAATTTTTTTTGATGGTTTTAGTAATATATGCAATTGGATTAAGCTGGAATAAATGAACATCTACTGCAACCCAGTTGTATCAAATCATAAGCAGACAAATATCACAGTTTCGAGTTTAACTGACGAAGTACTTAATGAGATACTTCAATAAAATTTAGGAAAGACTCACTACTTATATTCATAATCCTTAAGTGCTTTTTCGAAGGGCTTTTTGAGGTCGCATTTGATGTCGCCTTGCATAAATGTTTCCATTGGAAATACGACAATACTATTTAAATTCTGCATCTAAATGTAAGAAATATAATAAAGTTGCAAAATGTTAACAGTTCATTGACGTGATTATACATATTAGCGATACGACAATGTGCATTGCTACTTACCAAATGTTTAGTCATGTTAGCCAAGTCTCGGTGAACAACAGAGAACTTGCAAAGACTGGTAGCGATATCATTTCCATTAGGTTCGTTGCCTTCCAAAGCTATTTGACCAAGCCTTTCTAAAAAGTCACATAATGATGTTATTTGATCAGCATAGGCTGCACAAATATAATAAGTCAAAAATTACCGATTCCAGAAGCGACAACTGATTTAACTAATTTTTTCGATCGTATAAGAACATTTCGGTCTGTCTCTAAACTCTATAAGGAAATAATAATTAATATGAAATGTTTGCTTTGAAAATAAACGAACTCACCTCATCCAAATTATATACTGTACATCTCACACTAGAAATTTTCGAAATAAAATTACACTTGAGAGGATGTCTGACATCATTTAAAGTGTCACTTATAAACTCATCTACTGTCAACGCATCAGGCATTATCCTTGTAGCGTTGTGATTTTAAAAGGCGCTTTTTCACACTATATCCAATGTCCATAAATTGGCATGAGCTAATATTGCCTATATTGTTTTCTTACTCTAGCTTCAATACAGTTTCAGGAATTTAGTATTTTTCCATGCTAGCCAGCTTGGATTTGTTTATCACGTAATCTGAGTGCATTTATTTCGATGCTATATGCGTTACGGAATTACTAATGTAGCCTTTCTGGGATTAGGGCTGATCACGCTCTCGAACATCCATTATGTCATGAGGTTCTGGGCTACAATAAACGCCATCATAGGGAAGAGATCTATGTTCATACTCCCGAAAGGACTGAAGAAGTAACCAGTATCAACAAAACAAGAGCAGAGAAAATCAAAGTCCTGGCTTAATACACAAAAGAAAGCAAGCTAGTGAAGTGGAACATCATATCCGACCAATGTAAGTATGCCAAAGAGTTTTCAATAATAGCCAAAATGGCTGTAGGAGAAAGAAATATGATACATCTGTATGATACTTCAAAGAATCTCGCTGGAAATCATCGTAACCAGAACAACCAAAGAGAACTACGGGAGTCAAAGTAGTCATCGACACCGGGGAACGGCGAACCAGGTTGATCCGGCCTCGTGAAAAGCTCCTGAATGAACCAGCCTCATTATCGAAGTTGAACCCACAGACCTACCAATCAGTTTTGTCCCACCGACAACTGAAGAGATCAGTATGACTATCAGACAAATCAAGAGCGTGCTATTAAACAGAATGAAGGACACCATAGATGCCCAACTTCGAGATCAACAGGTTGGAGGCTGTTAGAATGGATTATGAACCAGGCAGATAGCCGCATTACGGATCATTGTGAAACAGTGAATTGAATAGAACTCACCAGTAAACATCAGCTTTATTGACTACGAGAAAGCATTTGATAACATACACAGGATGATACTGTGGAGGCTTTTTTGACCCAATGAAAACACCGACATGATAGCAAACATTGTTCGAAATTCTTATGATGGATTAAACTGTAAGATCATGCATGTTAGACAGCTAACAGACTCGTTCGATATGAAGATCGGCGTCAGGCGAGGTTGCTTACTGTCATCCATTCTCTTTCACCCAGTGATCAAAGACGTCAAAATCTTGATTGAAGTAAGAAATCTAATGAAGAGCTCGGATGTTGTTGGACGGTCTGAATTTGACAGATGATCTGGAATTTCGATTCCTTACACAAAAACAAATGCAGTAGAAGACGGGCAGCTTCGCTGTAGCCTCTGCAACATTACGCCTCAACATTCAAAACATAAACAGCGAAATCCTCTGATTCAACACAACATGACCCTAAACAAATCACACTTGACTGAGAAGCTTTGGAAGCTGTAGAAAACTTTAAATATCCGGACAGCCTCATTGATAAATTAGGTTGATCTGGTGCCAACGTTAAGACACATCAGAAGATACAGGTGTTTGTTAAAAAGTGTCTACGCAAGAAACTGCTGGTTTGTTGGCCAGACTCTATCAGAAACGACCTACTCTGTCATGTAAGGAACGTGATCTCATCCAAGAAAAAAATTCGGAAAAATGTTCCATAGGTGGGTATTACACATTATGGAAATCAACAGATTACATCATAAGGCAAGTAGTAACTTGGAATCCTGATGGCCAAGGGAAAAAAGAGAGAACAGAGGACATACTGCGCTGGGATTTGAGGTCATGATAGAAGAATGGTCACTTTTCGATATTTCAACCATCGTTTAAATATGACTCCCATCCTTTTCATTGAGTGTGGTGTGAGCTACTTATAAGTAGTATATGACGTGAGTGTCAACGTAATGTCTGACAGAATTATAAGGGGGAAGATCAAGAAAGGAAGAGTTAGAAATCAATGGAATTTGTATGAAACGCATGAACAGTGACATTGGATTGATGTTTTGCAGCAGGAACAGTCCAGTTCGATATGATGCAAATTAAGGATTTACGATATGGTTTTCCAATTTTACTGAGTAACTCTGTAATTTCGCTAAATACAGTTCGGTTGCCCCACCTGTGTTCTCGTTCACTACATGAGGACTTATGGTTTCACTTGGCCTTGAGTATTCTCAATATGAAATTCGTTACAGACCAAAGTATTGTTCAACTCTGAGTATCCGTGAAATCCTTTAATTTCTGGATGCCGGAAGCTATTACATTATAAAGCAAGAGGTTGGTTGCCTGCAACGAAGAAAATAACATTGACCGAATTTGTACGGTAAGGAAAGACGATTGTTTCAAGAACCACAACAATTATAAATTAATTAATTGGTAATGCAAACAGTGTGATATGGCTGAAGGGCTGAGGAAACGGAGAAGAAAAAATTCAAGATGCAAATAATTTGTTGAAATGTGATGATGGTAACTAGAGACAAAAAGCATGCATCAGATATAACTGGTCCAGCGGAGGTTGGTAATCCGTGAGTATATGTTCCACACTTGAAACTGCTCACTGAGCTGACTGTGGTCACTCTGGGTGACAGAACATATCAAGTGGGAGCAATCCTTAATGAGAATAGTCATTGCGAACATATTTCTAACTTCACCAGAAGCCCCTCTGGGCTTCTGCCGGCCCAAGCCCGGATAAAGGAGAAGGATTGGGCGTGAGGTTGGCGACGGCATCCCAAAAAAATAACTCTCTAAAAAACTTCAACCAGAAAACATCATTCAAACCTTTTTAACTCTGCCCTGGGAGTTACAGGGTCTTCTTTCAGAAGGACTATGACGTCTTATGATGAAAGCCGAGTTTTCACGGAAGTCACAAGGTCAGTGCCCTTTCTGATAACCGGAGCAACCATTTTTTTAGGTACACGGAACGTTCAAAAAATTGTGATAGACTGGGAGGCTATTTCAATTTACTTCAGAAAGGAAAATATACAACATCTAGGTGCTTGGAATCAGTGAAGCACATTGTACACAGGTTGGACAACTGAGACTAGCTTCAAGAGAGCTTCTGTTATGTTCCAATCATGAAGAAGAACATGCCTAACACGCACAAGGAGTTACACTGATACTGTCCAAACAAGCACAAAAGGCACTGGTAGGATAGGAACTTCATGCACCTAGGATCATCAAGGCACCCAACGAAACAAAAAAGAGGGCATTAGAGTGAACTTCATTCAATTCTATGCGTTTAAAATAAATTCTACTAGAGGCTGCAGTCAATCGTCGACAGATGCTCATCAAAGGATTTGACCATTCTGATGGGAGACCTAAATGCCAAGGTTGGCATGAACAACAATGGATATGAAGACATCATGGGACGACATGGACTAGAAGAAAGGAACGAAAACGGTGAGACGTTCATAAACCTATCTGCCTTCAACAAGCTGGTCATCGGTGGCACCATATTCCCACATAAAAGCATACAGAAAGCTACGTGAACTTGACCGGACCACACTACACAGAACCAGATCGACCATATATTTATCAATAAAAAATTTAAAAGGACCATGGAGGATGTGAGAACCGAGAGAGGAACTGATATAGCTTCAGATCACCACTTGTTGGTCGCCAAAATGAAACTAAAACTCAAGAAACACTGAACAACTGGACGATCTGCATCATAAAAGTTTAATACTGCCATTCTTCAGGATAATGGAAAGCTCCTTGAATTTAGGCTCGCCCTCAGCAATAGACCTTACACGAGCTGCTCAGTAGAGAGGAAACAACCTTAGAGAACATTTGGAACGGGATCAAAGAGGCAATCACGTCAACATGTCAAGAGGTTCTGGTTGATAAGCACCATCACAAGGAATGATTATCAGTCTGTACTGTTGTAAAAATTGAAGAAAGGAAGAACAAGAAGGCAGCAATCAACGTCAATCGGACAAGAGAAGAGAATACACAGAAGCGAACAGGAAAGTGAAGAAGAGCATCAGAGGCGACAGACGAAAATATGTGGAAGATCCAGCAATGGTGGTGGAAAAGGCCTCAAGAGAAGGAAACTTCAAACAGCTGTACGATATAAAGAAACTCGCCGTAAACTATTGTAAACCTGAACGACCAGTGAAAAGCAAGGAAGGCAAAGTAATCAGTAACACTGAAGAACAGTGAAATAGATGGGTAGAGCACTTCAAGGAACTCTTGAATCAACCAGCTCCACTGAAACCACCCAATATCGAAGCAGCATACACGGATCTCCCAATCGATGTTGGCGCACCTACGATTGAGGAGATCAGTATGGCCATCGGATAAATGAAGAACAGTAAAGCAGTGGGACTAGACAATATTTCAGCAGAGGCAATGAAAGCAGACGTGGAAGTAACTGCAAAAATACTTCACACCCTCTTTAAGAAGATTTGGGATGGAGATTGGAAAGAAGGATACCTGATCAAAATATCAAAGAAAGGAGATCTCAGAAAGTGTGAGAACTACACAGGCATCACCCTTCTCTCGATACCAGGCAAATTCTTCAACAGGGTATTGTTAGGCAGAATGAAGGACTTCGTACACGTCTAACTTCGAGATCGAGAGACTGAATTTCGATCGAGTATCGATCAGTATCGATCGTGTACTGACCAAATTTTGACATTACAGATTACTGTGGAACAATCAACTGCATGCACTTCACCACTCTACATCAACTTCATCGACCACGAGAAAGTGTTCGACTGAATGGACAGGAAAACACTGTGTAGGCTTCTTGGACACTACAGTGTGCCTGAGAAGATAATTAACATCATACGGAATTCTTATGATGAGTTAAACTGAAAAACTGTGTACAGAGGAAACTGAATGACTCATTCGAGGTGAAGACCGGTGTCAGACACGCAGCAACAAATGCAAGAGAAGATGATCAGTGTAGCAGCAGGTCTCAACATATAATCAAATCACACTTAAACCATTCAAGTAGTGTAGATTATATCAACGCCTTAACGTTTATGCCGGATAGTTTAGCTAGAGCTCCAGAAAATTATCACCCTGCAGGTCAGATATACGAAATTCTCTTCGAGGTTTCTATTGCAGCAAGTGAAGTTCGTGGTCCTTGTTCAAAAGTTTTTCTATTTTATTGAGTTACACAGGTACTTGTTGACCAAGATGAATGCCAAAACTTATCGGTATCAGAATTCGAAAACTTGAAATTTACTTACTGTGCGTTTGTAGCAAATGAATTCGATAAGCGCCCATTTTCTGAAGGCAATTGTAAAAACCATTACTGTGTCTATTAGGCATGGTCTTGACGTCTTTTGAGAGCGGCTTATGTTAAGTAAGACTAATATTAGCTTAGATACAATCTAGTTACCGCTCAGAGGTTGGCAGCTGATTCTTTCGTGTCTATAATTGTTTCGAAATATCTTTAAGTGTACAACATAAAGTGGGCCTACACTACGATTTTGCAGAAACAGATGAGTTTCGAATCCATCTTCTGAATGGTAAATTACTCAAATTAATCCTCCTGGCAAACAATCTGAAACTGATTGACATTTCATGATGCATATTATTAAGTGAGAAAGATCTAGTGAATAATGTCATCTATCAATTGTACGACATTGGACTTAATAGGTGGAAAAGCAACAGTATAGTTATAATGATAAAATATTCCTGTTTTCCTCAAAGCCGAAAATTTATTCGGTGTCACAAACAAATACACGCATGTTTGTTTAACTTCATAAGTTAATAGTTTTTAAAATGAACTTTGACGGTTGTAATCGAAACTTATATATGTGATGTCGCGGTAAGATTTCAAATGATAATATGTCGTTTTTAACCGACTTGCTTGTAATATGTCACTGAAATTTTCTGTTTCACACTTAGTTTGCTTGTGTTAGCACCGTCTGACGGTGAGTATAAGTACAAAAGAGTCACTAAATCGTTATATTCTAGTGTAACAAAAATAAACACTCCAGTTCCTAAGAACTTTTTCGGGTGAACAAAAGAAAAAAACGGAGTTTTCATGATGTTATATTTTGTGGGTTGGTAAAAATAAACCAGGTCACTAAACATTGGAATCGCTTTTACGATTTTGGCTTGTTTCCCTCATTCCTAACCTCTTAAACACTCACTTGACTGAATACTCACTCGTCTGATACATGGATGTTTGTTTATTTTACTGGAATAATTCTTATTAGTGTTTATGTTCTACAGTCTGTTTTTGCTGTGAATAATCTTTTTGTCTTGTGTACATGATCCAATAAATCCAATATGTTTTTCGCGAGCCTGAATAAACAAATTGATTTTGTTGCGCTCGTTTCTTATTGTTTCATCAAGGTTTGCCTACAAACGTTGCAAAGGTGAAATATGGCATATAAGCATGTAAAAACAGAGGGACTTTTTCGGCGATTATTAACAAAAAGTGATAACTGAATTTCTGTACAAACATTTTCAGATATTGCAGTTGCACTCATCTCTACTCTGATCAGCTTTGAATAGAAACTGTTTCATGCAATACGTTATGTTTAAACTTTGTTAAACTTACGTCTAACTCATAGGTATTTTGTACGCCTGATAAGTGTGAAGAGCATTGCATATATGCAAACCCGGAATAGACATAATGTTGTTCGTCTACTCAGCAAGCATATTTTATACACTTGTGCTTAACAGTGAAGGCGGACGACAACGTATCATAATAAAGCTGGAGTGTGATAACGAAAATTCAACCACTAAAACTAGAGGTTAATAGTGTAAGGTTTTTAATGCATATCAGGCTAACAGTATCAATTATATTTACCATTCTTGTAGGTTATGGGTTAAGCTTTAACCTAAGTGTCCTGTAACTGAAGCAAACCTCTAGATTATTCAGAATTTCGAATCCTGACGTTGTCTTTCGAAAATTTTGCTGTTTATCCGACTAGATTTCCTCAAACTTTGTGTATATTGATTTCGCAGTGTTAAAAGTGATGGCTTCTCACAACTAAGAATTTGTTGTTATCACTTCAATGTGGGGCATTTTGTTTTAACACTATAGTAAATCATCTTAAGTGTTTTGCATAAGTGTTTATGGAGTTAGAACTTATAAGCAGTGCTCTGTCTACTCGTTTATTGAATTTTACTTACCTTAAAATGAGAATTCTATTTCAACACCTCATTCATCAAAATGAGTTAACCTAACGAAAATGAGTTCGTAATTCATTATCCATAGGTTTCCAATGAAACGCTGACTAAAAGAAATATGCGCTAAGAAAGTGTTTGCTGTTTCACTGGACTGTATCATTGTAGCTAATGGTGATTTGAGCACATGTTTATCTTAATTATATTTCATTTTCTGAAATCTATGAAAAACTATTTATTTTTATTAATTAAAACCCCAAATTTGATCAAAATCTTTAGTACAAAAGTTTCTACATATATATAAAATGTCTCATTTCGATAAAGTGAATTACCTCACAGATACAAATTAATTATTAACAGTATTTATCACCCAAAATATCTAAGTTGATAATTATATGTTTGCACTGAGATGAACTTGTGTTAATTAGTTATACACGTAATCATAAAGCTGTAGACGTTGTTCCATTTTCTATTTCATACGACTACTCATTGAATACTCAAGTTATTTTGGAATGAATATATTTGAACGAAAAGTTATATGGTAAAATTACAATTTACCAGGGATTACCACAAAAATATTCTCCAAAATATTAATAGTGTGTTTTTTGCAGATAGGCTGTGAATGTACTTTAATTATTTCCTCAATAAACACATCTGAAATTTCCCCCTACCTGGATCAAGGGGATTTCCAACAGAAACAGGTCATATGACTATGTTTATTTATCACACTCATTGTTTTAATCAGATAAACTTGAATATTTCAAATAACGTTTGATAGGAAATATTCATTGCTCAATACATATATCCTTAAGCTCTGTTTTTGAGTTCATTTAACGATAACATGCATATTCTTCGTGAAAACCAACAAACTGAAAAATTGATACTTGCATTCAAAATTGTCTGGTATTTTGTTTTGACGTAAACATGTAATATGAGATTTTTGGATCAATCGGATATGTAATCAGCCTTTTTGTTTTACCAACCAGCCTTAGTAAACAAAAAGTTCTGATCACTATATACATAATTACATCTTGATAAATAGGCATACATTGAGGCTTTATAAAAAAGGCTAATAATTAATCATGAAAGAATAAGTACACTAAGCTTATTGGGAATAGTTATCTCAAAGTTAATATTCTCAAGATAGCTGAGCATTTTATCAGTCTAGATAATAATAAGCTGTAAAACTGCTTCAGATGGTTAGTAGAAAAATAAGGTAAGAAGTAAGGATTAAATATACATTTTTTTTGAGTCTAATTTTACAAACTGTTAATTATTACTGTTTTTAATCAACTAAAACTTGCAATCTGACAGGATAATTAACCTCAGATTTACTTTTGTTTTTCCAATTTTTTATGAGAAAGAAATCTTTGTTGTTCAGAAATAAAGATAGTATGTCCGTTTATCTGAAGTATGTTTTTCAATAAAGTTTCTCTGAAAAAATTTTGCTGATAAAGTATATATATCCTTGTCGGCTTTTTTAAATCGCAGTTTTAATATTTTAAATAAATTGAATTCATTAAACGAATGCATATTGGTCTGAATGTATCACAGCGATCACGTTCAAAAGCCTGTCTTTTATATTAAATAGTATGCATCAAATGAGTGTAATTTATCAAATTATTTGATAAACCAGCTCGGCTTTAAGCTAATAAGCTTCTTCAAACAATCATGAGCTTGATAATTATTTGTCGCGAAAGTTAAAATGTTTCTGTCTGAACTGAAAATTACTGAAGATTTAGAATTTAGGGGTATAAAATCAAAGATATAGAAAAGGTGTATTGTAGAAGTCACTTTTATAAAACAATCGTTGAATAAATAAATTAAACCTTTAGACCAACATGCATCTTGGTTCAGTAAAATAATAACCGATGAGTGTGATTCAACTAATTTGGAAGTCTGTATTTCAAATGCTCAACTAATTATTAGGCAAAATAGACACCTTTTGAAAGCAAGTAAATTGTAGTCAAGCAAATACAGAAGTTGAATATTTCAGTAGTGCTTTTATTTACTGTTAAATCTTTATGCCATATGTTGCACACACTAGTTTGTTATTGACCTTTCGAATGGTATAGCATATTCTTCAGGGTAGCTGAGAACGTTATGGTTAGACATAATGTTTGATTAACTCATCTAGATAATTTTTCCTAACCAAAATGACTATCTTGAGTCATGGGACTTTTTATTTGTCTGATTTCACCATAAATTATGGACAATAAATACCATTTTTGTCATACAACCCTTAGGAGGTTGATCACCGTGGAAAGCTGCTAATCTAGAAAATGTATATCGATCATGTTGTTTTGTTCAGTAAATACTCTGACAAAATTTTATCATATTTCTTGGACTCGAATAACGATACAAGGATATGTAGGATTTGTTTTCTCCCCTTCAGATGGTGAATGTTGCTTCAGGAAAGATTTGCGTCATTGCATAGATTGATCATGATGAGTGACGTAGTTGAGTGAGTTGACCGCTTGATTTGTTTTAGAAGTTTCGCTACCCCTTATGAGTTGGCATCTGACAAAATCTAGATAAAAATTCGAAAATCTTGGCAATCTTTGACACACTTTCGTCAGTCGTAATGTGGAGATATGAGCAGCGACCGAACAAAGGGCAAGTATAATTAACAGTAGTCTATTCAGGATAACTTGTAAGCAGTGGAACATGTCATTGAAAGTATTAGACAGGTTTAGATGACAGGCTTATTATCACAAGCTCCTTCAAGGCACTGCTTCCGTATCGTGGAAAAACTGAGAAAACTATGTTGAGGTTCGGAATAGATTAATAAAGAAAGATGACAAATCAGTTGATGGGGCTATTGATATAAGTCACCGAAGGCGGATGGGAGATGTGTTTCGTGAACATAGTCACTTTATGCCTCGACGTAAAGTTGTTTTTTGGTGTAAAAGGAGATTGAAAGAAAGCTAGTACAGGCCAAACTAAAATATGCTCATTGACTCTTGATTTGAACTGTGTACGTAGATGCACATTACTTAACCGGATTATTTGAGATAATTACGATCTGTAGTTGGAGATGATCAGTGACATGGTTTGACAATGGACCATGTGTGTCAGACTTATTCATTTTTTTACCTTTCTGTCGATTTTGAGTTTCCCTATCTCTTTGTGCATATCTTTTTTTTCATCATCAGGAACTGAGTTTTGAAAGTTCAGTCTTTGTTATCACCAATCTTTTCAATTCGTTTGTTATTTGCATTGATAAGTTAAACTTAATCAGCTGATGTAGTATAGTGCACTAGGATAATACACAGTTAGGCTAGGCTCTATGTTGTTTTTGAATGACTGACAGATAAAAGTCCTGGTTGAGAAATAATCACTACACCAAAGTCACAACCATCAAAATTTGAAAAAATTGTAAATTCTATTTTTAATTTCTTCCCCTTACATCTTCTTTTGGTTAATCTTCATTATGTCACAAAATATTTGGAAACTGTGATGTGTCACTTGAAAGTTTGTACTTAGTAGTTTACCTTAATAGTTTACCACTCTTAGAGAATGTAATCATCAGACAACACTTATTTTTCAATCAGTCTAAAACATGTTTATCATTCGAAAGATTAAATCACATATAAATGCAGAGAATAACACACTTAAGTTTGGTCCAAACTTAACTCACATTTCTACTAATTTGATTTACTATAGATCCGATTAATTACTGATCAT